AGGACCTCGAAACAGAGGTTTCTACTTTGCTCGACATTCGCAATCCGAGATGATACCGTTATGTCCACCGAACACGGTCAAACTTTGGGACGGTTTCTCGTTGTTGCATGTAAGAGCCAATGGAAAATCTCACGGACAAGATCTGGGTAAGATCAAATGTTTTGGAAAATTGATGAATTTCATTTCATTAATCATTCTTTTGTAAGATATTTTAAATTTATTCGAAATGAAAAAAAAAAATTGGAATACAATTATTATCCAATTTTCAATCTCATCTTTTTTTTAGGTACGGCCGGAAGCTGCGTCACAAAGTTCAATACTATGCCTTTCACGTTCTGCAACTTGAACAATCAATGCAACTACGCAGACAGAGAAGAGTTCAGCTACTGGCTTAGTACGACGGAACCCATGCCTATGTCTATGGCTCCAATACCAGCACCCCAAGTTGGCAGATATATCTCTAGATGTTCGGTTTGCGAGGCCCCAACTCGGGCAATCGCGGTTCACAGTCAAACTATGGTTATACCACAGTGTCCAGGTGGTTGGGAAGAGCTTTGGATCGGATATAGTTTCCTCATGGTAAGTATACGTTATTCCTCGCTAATAGTAGTCGCATTTATGTATATTGTATATATATATATATATATATATATATATATATATATTACGTATATTTGTCATCAGTCGCACAAACGTTTCCAATACAAAGATAACATTGACATTTGACATTTTTTTCAAATAGCAAATTTTTTTCAAATAATTATCATATTATCATTTTGTCACATTGAAATAATAGCTGATCAAAAAGAAGCATCAATAACGAAAAATTTACAGCATCGAGACGTAGGCAATGGTGGAGGTGGTCAATCTCTAGTTTCTCCCGGTTCTTGTTTGGAAGAATTTCGCATCAGGCTGTTCATCGAGTGCCGTAGTAAAGGCACGTGCAACTATTTTTCCACTGCCACTACCTTCTGGTTAACCACCGTCAAAGATTACGAGATGTTCCGTAAACCGATTCCACAAACACTGAAGACAGATCACACATCGCGAGTAAGTCGTTGCGTTGTCTGTCTTCGACGTCGCGTAACGGAGGACGTGAGATCGTTAAAGCCAATCATATCGAACGGGCAAAGGGAGCAAGTGGGCAATATTCGGTACTTGCCGCATTCTCGGCCTGTTCACTATCCGGATTATCAATACCAGAAAAAACCACCGATAGGAAGAACGAGAGGACCGAACAGGCGCGTTCCGTATCACTATCGAAAAAAAGGTGGCAGATTACGTAAACCGGAACGAACAACGGAGCCACCGGAAGCGGCTTAAACGATGTTCAATACGATGAGTAGCTATAACTATGCGTAAATTATGAATCCGTATGTGTGTGTGTATATATACATATATACATATATAACGAAATATTCTCGAAGAATGCTAGTTAACTATTCCGTGTGGCATAATAAAGGAACGTAAAGCACCAGGATACGGTCACTTGCCGTTTTTAATGCCAAAAATAAATACACAGGGACGAAATGTCCATCGCTAAAACTGCCAATAGATAGCGCTCGATAATAGAAGCGCAAATCGTGTTTAATTAATTAATTAATGATTCAGTGTATCATATTCGTATCGCTATTTTTATTGTGTAACAACTTGTAATTGCATTGAGCTGAATAAAAAGATTTTACAAAAGATATTGAATGGAATAAACCGTGCTGGGATAAACACGATAATTTTCACGATCACTTCGGTGAATGTTTTTTTTAATATTTCTTTTTTTTTTTTTTTTTTTNTTTTTTTTTTTTTTTTTTTTTTGAAAAATAAAATAGAAATAAAAATAAATTGCTTCTAGATTAATATTCTTTGATTCTATCAAGAAAAGTAATAATCAATGAATCAATGATAATAGACGCATACTTGCCATGAAATATTATCATCGAATCTCTATTTAAAAGTCATGTAGGTATAGATAATTTAACAATTGTCGCATAATGTTAATACTTGATGCATATTCTTTACAATTATAAAAAATGGCAAAGAATAATTACAACGAAGGAAACTATTGCGTGTAATGGTAAGATTATTATAATTTTATATTTATACATTATGTATCGCTATTTTAAGTAATAGAATATATTAATTAATTATCGAGATGGTTATTTTTAATCAAACCGAAAATTTTTCAAAGTTTCAGATATAATGGATGGTGTATTTGTAAAAGGATAATCACGGTTATCACTGAACGTGACACCGAAAAAAAAAATAAAACATATGAAAACTAATTACATTTTAATAGTCAAATCCACGCGGACCAGGCGCGAATTTTCCAAAATAAACGTACACGTGAAAGATCGAGATATTATATTTATATTTATAAAATTATTCATCATTAGAAAGCACATATGATCTATCTATATGACGTAATTCACTACGCACACACGCGTACAAGCGTGCCTACGAGCGCACGCACGCACAAAGAGAAAAAAACACGCGGAGCCGCACGCACACCGTGAAATACACACATTCATACCTCGTCGCGCACACAGGCATAAGCACACACGTACACACACGCGCGGGCATACATACACACGTACGTGGGGCGCGCGTGCGCACCACACACACACACAAAATAATCGCTGTGTGAACGGCGACGCGCGACTAACGAAACGAGTATACATGTCTATGTATGCACGTGTACATATTCAGAGTACCTCACGAATGTGTTTTACAGGGTTTCGTATCTTTATCTTTTCTTCTTCTTCTTTTTTTTTCTTTTTTTTTTTTGTTTTTTTTTTTTTTTTATTTATATATATATCGTTTTGTTCATATTTTATTTTACGTAACTCTTTGTAACTGCTCGAATAATTGGAAGAAAGTGCAACAGAGATGAGCAGGCCAGTATCATCACAGTTATTATACCGCAGTACGTTACTCGAGAAAATATCATCTTCATCTTTCAAAATCTTATTTTTACTCTTTTATTCGTTCTTACATATACATTATCATCTTCCTCCTCTTTCTACGATCGGTCGATTAAATAATACGTACATTTTATCTTTCGTTCAACTATCTTATTTTCTTTTTTCAATCATCATATCGATCATTAATTATTAATACGACATAAATATATCTTTAAGAATATTCTCATTCCTCTCGTTAATTTAAGATTATTAAACAATTAAAAAAACGCTCGATAAAATTGCATCTAAAAAAAAAAGAGAAAAATAGAAGAAAAATAGATTTTTCGCATACACGTCTAACGAAAAAACACTCTATTAAATTGCGTTAAACTCGATTCAACAATCTCCCCTCATTTACGATGTCACGTTTCTACGAATACGTGATATATAAAATCAAAGCTACGAAAAAAAAAAAAAAGAAAATAGAAAAAATAAAGAAGCTAAAATAAAAAGAGAAAAAAAAAAAGAATGGGGAGAATAATAAGAGAATAATAAGTCGACAAATGATTTGGATAAAAAAAATATACATACATATATCACGTTAAAACATCTACGTTAAGGGACATTGTCCGCATATCGAAAAGGAGAAAGGAAAAAAAAAAAAAACTCTAACATATTCTGGCGCGGACTTCCGGTCGCGATGGTGTAGCGACTTCCGTCGGAAACGGAATACGCTACCACAAATTCGCGCGTATCTACCTTGTGGCAATTTCTTCCAACTTCTTCCGTCGTTTTTTTTTATGTTTATCATCTTTCTTTTTTACATTTTTTACTCTCTCTTTTTTTTTTTAATTCTTTCTCTCCGTTTAATTATCGGTGAACATCCTGGAAAAATAAGACACTTGCGTGAGATTTCTTTCATATGCATGTATAATATACATATATACACACCGATTTCTCTTGTGTCGCGCGGCTTGTGTGTGTATATATATATATATATATATATATATATATATATAATAAACGTGAATTTCATATATATATATATAAAATTATATATATAATCATATATATACGTATAATTATACATATAATTACATATATAATAATATAATAATAATACATATATGTATTTTTCACTTTTATTTTCTTTTGTATCTTTTTTGTTTCTCTTATTTTTTTTTCAATTACATTTTGTTTTTTTCTTTTTTCTTTTTTTATCATTATACAATTACAATCAATGTAACAACGGATGTCATCGAGAAGTAATTTTAGTGTGCATTTCTAAAGACTCAAAAGAGAATTACCGAGCTATGCAAAATAGAAGGATCGATCTCCATTATTTATTTTTTGTATCATTTTCCTCACACGTATACATATATAAATATACGCAAATTTATATACCGATTATATATAAATAATCGAACGAATCATATATATATATATATATAACACGATATATAAATCCCTATACATATATATACATATATACATATGAATTTTTATAATATATATTATATATATATATATATAT